TTTGATGAGGTGCCAAATTTGTATGGGTTATCTTATTATCTCAGTGGAACACTATACCTTGTATAGTCTTCTCCGTTTAAGTAAATCATTAGATATGTCTAGCAAATGACACATCATTTCAGAATTACTCATATAATACGATAGAAAGTTAAGAAGACAAATTAATTGCTTTAAAATTCAACCAAACAGATAGCTTCACATTGGCTTTTGATTTACTTTGGATCGGTTAATCTTTTTAACTGCAGAATATTTGCGTATAACAATATTGTAGATCACCCATTTCACGATCTTTCTAATGATGCGTTTCGAAATGATGATGATGTTTAAGGTAAAAATTACAAATATCAAAGCGACAGAAGAAATAAGGAACCCATATTAAACAGGCATATCATAGGCAAACGATTGATGTTAGATAAGCGATTAATCAATTTTATTAAAAATTTATTAATCAATTTTAATAATAATACAGTGTTAAGAATATTTAAAATGCCTAAGATCTTGTTTGTATATTTTGAAGATTAAAATTTAAATCTGAAATAATTAAAAAACTTTTTGGATCTCCATTGTAGCTTTTATACTGCTTTTTAAAATAATCTCTTCGATTCAGATCATGACGAACTTTAGCAGGTGTGCAGCAGCAATGAATTATTTTAACCATTATTTTAATAGGATGAGATTGTTTATCATGATGTATATATCAATAAACTTGACTTAATGGGAAATAGACTTATGTAGTCACTGTTATCGGGAATGTTTTTCTTATAGATTTTCTTTTGTTGAAGTACAATAAACTTATCTCTTTTAAAATGCTTGATAATCCTTGGATATAGTATGTTGTGTTCTTTAACAACTCAGGTCTTAATTAGTGGAGATTTAAGAATTTGATATGACATTGGCATTGACAATATTTGGTAACTTTATTTGTAAGGCAGCTCATAATAAGGAGCTCATTATTCTCATCAACCCTTGAAATGTGTTCTGCTCTTTGTTTTTTATTTGGTTGCTTTGTGTTTATTCAACACCTTCTTAGTTTCATAGGATAGCTTTTCTTCAACTATTTCGTATTTTGTAAAGTCAATTTCTTCCATCAAGTTTATTCAAGTTTTAAATTCAATTTGTGACTTCTTGAAAAAATCTACAGAAATAAACCTTGCATTGTTGTTATTTCTTAGGCACGACTTTTTTTTACATGCACACCTGAATTAAACGACGGATTTCGGTGTATTTTTTATTCTGAATCATTTTTTCTTAACTGATATAGCTTGATTATCTTTTTATTGTGGTTTAAAGTTTTAAAACAATTTGTATATGATATTTCAATTATTAACTATTGAATAGATATGTTAGTAATAAGGTGTTCAATACATTTGTTCAAACATATAATTGAAGTAGGTGTATCTCGATAATGCTATATCTATTCGTCCAAAGTTGTAGAAAAAGCACATGGAATAGCAAATCATTTTTACCATAAATAACGTTCAGTTATATACAACAAATTTAATTACTATTGTTTGTTTATTAGACATATATATTTACCTTCTGCTTCAAGATCAAGATTTTTGTTGGACCAAACTATATCAAATAGTTGAAAACTGCTTCCAGTACCGAAAACATTGGAAGACTAAAAAAAGTGTTAAATGATTGCGAAATAAAAATGAAAAAGGTCTCAGTGGCTATAGTTGTCTGTTTCATTCAGATGCAAAAATAACACTTAAAAACTTAAAAATACGAAATCGTATCCGCATTTTGGATTCCATGCTTACCTACCTTGCATTAAATCTTTTATTAAAGTTTACGCAGATTAAGCACTATTAATGAAACATGGTATGATGTCTCATCTCTTTACTCTCAAATTAAAATATTAGTCTCCGTTTTTTAATGTCCGTTTATATCCAGAACATACATTTTTTTTTCATATGCAAAAATATGTCGATGTTGAAAAAATAACCTGACATATTAACCTATTAATACAGTACGTTAAAAAATCGTTGAAGAAATTTATTTTTTCTGCCGATAGAGTAGCGGTAATATTACTCCGGCTTGATAATAACATAATTTTATTGGATTGAGATATTGGTACATCCTTTCGCTTGTACTAAGAGTAAAAAAATAAAAAAAGACGCACAAACTCTTTGAACTTCATTCTTATATGCATACCTTCTGGTAATACTGCTAAAATCCAAAACCAATAAACTTTTTTCTACTCGTACATTCACTACATTTCGATTAGACTAACTTAAAAAGGACTTAGCAGAAACGAGCCGTTAGGCAGTAAAACAATTTGATATGGACGTGTTTGGAATAACCAAATATTACCAGTGACTTCCTTAATTCAATAAATGAATGTTTTTTTTTTTTTATAAAACAATCAACTATAAGGCAGATAACACTTGAGTGTTGGTTAAAGTTGACTTATTCATTTGTGGAGTTTATTTTAAGGATACCGACATTTAATTGATTATCGTGGTGCTGTCAAAATAGTTAAGTAGACATACTAAACTGCATTCCATCGAAAAAATTAAAGGACTTTATAAATATAATATCTCATATAGAGTTTATAATGTGAACAATAAGTTATATTATGTCTATTTGAAGAAATTGGATAAATTTTTTTTACTATAGGTCAAACTATGCCTACCGTGATAAAACGAATAACCACTTTAGTTTTTTGCTAAACCTGAGTATGGAAACTTATTATGTAGACAGTTAAATCCCAAATGGCAATTTTGTACTGTTACTCTTGCATTTTCAGTTATGCATAAATTTATTGGATAGATTTTGTATGAATATACTCAAATTTTTGCTTTCAAAAAATGGATATATTAGTGAGTAGCATAGTTTTGACTTATATGCAGGAGTATATGAAGCATCAATATATAGTATGGTATAGTATTATTAGCTTTGTTTTTACTTCATTTTAAATTTGTTGTATTACATTGAAATTAATAACAATTATATTATATATGTAAAGTCTACAGCTATGGCATTTTAGTCGTCTGCCGGCTAAGCTATATTGAAAGCTATATTGAAGCTTATAGTCAATATATTGACTATATTTAATTAAAGCTTTTCTCTTGCTCTCAGTACTAAATATTCAACTTTATTTATATTGAAAATAACAACAATTTCAGATTTAACATGGCATGATCATATATATATTTCTTATAGAAACATTATGCGAGATAATTTTAGTAAATACAGATATATTGGATATTTTTAATAAACGGCAAACCTTGTGACCTCATCACCTTTGATTTAGTTGACGTTTTTTTATAAGCTATTCTTAAAATAAATGAACCTATATCTCAAAAAAGTTTTTAAATTTTTTTTGAAGCAGACACATACCCATGGGTTCTTAAGAATTCACATTATATACACATTTTATATAGTAATATCCGTTTGTAAATTAATAGCTATGAAAACTGACTCGTCTGTATGTTTAGGTGGATACTTAGTTTTATTCATAGCTCTGTTACGTAGTCTTCAGTTTTTATGCCATTAGTTCATAAGTAGTCCCAAACAAAGTGTAATGATATAGTATACATTTAGGCTGATTTAAGTATAAATGTACATATTATTATTCAAAAGCGGGTAGTTCACTGTGACCTAAAAGACCTATTGTGCCCTTTAGACGAATTAGAGTGTTTCTCCAAGTCCGATTTCATTAATGAAAATGATCCTCAAAATAAGGAATATTGCGTATAAAATGCATTCGGACAAACGAAAGGTTTTGACATTATTTCTTCCCTTATACTGAAACTCCACATTTCCGCATATTAGGTTAGATTAGATTAGATTACAAAAGTACTAGCATAAAAGATCTGTGATGTTCGTAGACCTCCACTCCTTTAGAAGCCCAGTATCCTGTTATTTTTTATATGTCTCTATGAAACGTCATCCATAGAACTGTCAGCCAAAGATAAATCTTATGAAATGTTGAAATTAGTCAATTCAAGTGAATGTGTAATTTTTGATTATAATTTTTTACAGTTTCTTTAATTTTAGACAGTCGCCTTAATTTTATATAAACATAATCAATTATCCTCAAGCGACAGCACAACTCATGGGGACAGAAACGAATTAAATTTGAGGTTAATAAGGCATTTAGCGCAGACGCCACACACGTGCCGAATCCCTGCCAAATTCGTTCCATATGAAAATGAACGTATGTGAGTGTGTCTGTGTTTGAGAGTGCTTGGTAGTATCAGGTTCATCTTGACGATGGTTAACATATTTAAATTTAAATTTTGATCTAATGTGGCCATTCGTAGTGTTAAAATGTTCCAGCAGAGCTGCACATGAGGTCGTAAAATATTTCCTGGCAAGCTCAACGTTTTTGCAAGTCAACCGTTGAGGCAACTCCAAAAGGAGCCAATTTTTCGTGTAATTTTTTATTTTTACTTTTTATAGTAGTTTTTATTTTCGCAAATGCTTTAAAAATGTCACGATTATTGCCCTCGTCGTGGTATACGACGAGGTGGAAATATTAGGAGCAGATATCTTGCCAGCTTGCCGGGATGGCTGCATGACAAGAATTCTGCGTGTGCGTTTGGGGTGAACCAGAAACCCACAGGTTGAGCTACCGTCGTGTGTTAGTTTTGGTTTCAATGCGTTCCGTGAGTTTACCTTTTTGCACAATGAGAAGTTCTTACGTTATTCTCCTTTCATTGGGTGTATTTTGGCTGTTTGGCAGTACTGTGGCAACTTGTGACAGTGGGTTAATGTGTTCTCGGCATATAATATAATATAATATCCACATGCAAAGTGGTAACGTGACTGACAGTAAACGACGAAAATCAATTATTCAAATGCCTGCCGTGTTTAAAACCTGCACCCGATGGACAAGTAGCGCAAGCAAAAATTAAAACAAAATAAAAAAAATTATTTTCAACTTTTTACTCATTCTCTATATTTTTTTCACATTTCGGTTATTTTTGCAACTCTTAAATACTTTTTACAAAAATATTAAAAAATACCCTTTTGCTTTTGACCACTTGCAGTTAACAATCTTGATTCAATATGGTTCAGCAGCGAGGAAGTTGAATGCAAGTCAAGCATTCGACAACACATGGAATACCGCTTCGGATTTGGAAAATGAATTAGAAGTAAGTAGCGCTCAGTAAGAAATTGAATTTCATCAATTTTTATTAATTTAGTGCATGTTGCAGCAAAAGAGAGCGAAAGGCTCTACCGCTGCTGCATTTGCCGGTGGCGGTGGCGGTCAGTGGTCCGGTTGGTCAGAGTGGTCTACGTGCTCGCGCACATGTGATGGTGGCATCATGCAGCAGATACGCCGTTGCAATAATATAAATGGCTGTAAAGGTGAAAATGTACGCTATCGCATATGCAATATGCAACCATGTCCAGACCAGCAAGACTTCCGGGCACACCAATGTGCTGCCTACAACGATGTGCCATATGATGGCACATTGTACAAATGGACACCGCATTATGATTATATAGAACCATGTGCGCTGACATGTAGGTAAGTAAACGAACAAATTTCGACAACTCAATTTATGTTTTTAATTTGCTATGTTATATATATTAGCAACAGACCTTTCTTAATAACAAAATGTACATAAAACTTGTCCCTTAAACAAAGGGACGAAGTATAACATCACATTAGACATAGACATAAAATATAGTAACGATTTTTTTCCCTTTCAAGTCGGTATAGATTCATTTGAGTGCACAGAAAGTCCCCGACACTTTTGTCTCTCCTTTTTGTCTTGAGATACATCATAATACTAAAATTCGGTGATATATTTAGAAAGTTCAAACAATCATGCCCTATTGTATTTTTATTTTATTAGCTTTGATAGTATAAAGCTATACTATCAAAGCCGATCTATAAATCGACATATGGTCGAACATAATTTTTTCCAAGTCATTTATATCACTCAATCCATTATTTGAAATCTTATAATTGTCACTATGTTTACGATGTTACCATAAATTATAATAATTATAATTATATTATATTATTAAGTGTGTGAACTATAATTTATAAAATCATTATTTTATACACCCCAAGGTTTTATCGATTTGAGTAAACAAATTCGTAAGCAAAGTATCACTTGATTCGACTTAAATATGAATGCAACTTTTATGGAAGTATCACTTGATTCGACTAAAATATGAATGGAACTTTTATGGAAAAATAGCTCAATAACGTTAAACTAGAAAACGAACAGTTAATAGATTATCTTTTTTAAAATCCTCACCTTGCTAATCAAAAGGCAATAATACCTAAGTGATGTCTGACAAATCTTGTACAGTATTACAAACATATACACAAGTATAAGTTAGAATTTCCGCAATATTCATGTAAAGGATATATAAAGTTATAAAACGCAAAAATCAAAATAGAAAAAATTGTTTAAATATGAAAAAACTTAAGTAATCTCTACATGAAGTTACAAGCAGCTTAAAGCTCCTCCCTCTTACGTAGCAAAAAACCCTTTCTCTAATTGGGCTTAGAAATAAACAGAACCCGAAAACAACTAAAAGCTAGCTAACTGTCTAGCTACAAGTCTACCATTTCGCTTTTACTAGTCACTGGCTATTTAGTAGCCATACTCTTCAGTTGGGAATTCTCCCTTATGAATATTGTAGGTGTAGTAAAGAAGAAGCAGAGTGTCACTGCACAGTTCCAGTTAGATGTATAAAATTGGATCTTTAGTTTGAGGAAATTAGATCTTTAGCTCTCTGACAAAAGTATTCATGAGTAAGATTAAGAACATTGTGCACTTTCTAGAGAGCAGGATATAGTTCCATTATTAAGTATTAGTTAAGGGCTTCCATGTTATAAAGTAGATTCATTAAATATCTTAGGGTCTAGGATATTTAGTCAATTAAAAAATTCTTGTGATTAGAAAGGTGAATGTATTCCAATACTTTCTATAGTTTTTGGAATATTAAACTTTATCAGGCTCTTCTCACAAATGATTCAATTCCATCCATTCTTGCCAACTATTCAAAACTTTGAATGCGTTTGACTGTAATTTGCTTTCCTTATGTTGAGGTGCTAAGCTCCATAAGGAAATAAAGGAATTAAGAAGAAGAAGGATTAATATAAGAAATTTTTATTATTAAAACAAATGTTATATCTGTTTTCGTTAGACCTTTTAGAGTGGAAAATAATTTCTTTTCTTTCTATTCAACATTTCTTTAAAACAAAAAAAATTTGATGAAATTGAAAATCGTACATTTTTTCCAGAGGCCGACCAGCTCATCTAACAGATGACATTTCCCCAGAAACTGAGGGTAGTGAAGATGCTGAACACTACGATGAACCCAATGTAATTGTGCAATTATCCACACGAGTGCAGGATGGCACAAGATGCAGATCTGGCAGCCTTGACATGTGCATACAGGGAAAGTGTCAGGTGAGTGCAACCAAAAGGTGTAGAAAATTTGATTTTTATTCGCATTCTCCCTATTATTCCCGTTTATTTGCTGGAAAAACAAACAAAATATATGCAAATCACTCGAACAATGAAAACAAGGTAATGCTCAGATTACACTCCACCTGTCGTGATAAAAAGCAATTTGTTTAGTTGCTTTTTATGCTGTTAGCAACGTTAATATGTTTGCATTGGGGAATTGATTCATGTCTGTGGGTGGATACACTTAACAGCACTTACACAGTTCTTTTTCAGCATATCTGGTGGAGCCTTTCGAAAAAATAGTGCAATTCATGTTCCATGTTTATGTGTTTAGTACATTTTATGGTAGCTAAAAAAAGTGCTTTGAAATGTGTGAAGAGAAACATTTTAAATAAAAATATCCTGATGCCGCCTGGAGCCTTGAATCATAAATAATACATTTTTGTTTAATGTTAATGTCTCCTTTCGTATGCAAATTAATAATGAAACAGAAAACGATTTAATTTATGAATTCATTTCAAACATAACTTTTAGAAGTAACTCCTTCTGACGGCTTCGGTTTGATGGCTGCATCCAGATACCAAGAGGTTAAAATAGCATTACTCAAGTATAGAGAATTAAGTGAAATATTTTAAAATTTTTCTCTGTATTTACATTAATGTCTATATGAAAAGTGAGAAGCATTACACCGATATTACACCGATAAATTGTAAAGCATTTACCCCTTTCATTTAACCATATCAAAAATTTTGATCATTACTGGTAACAAATGCAAATAGTTACATTTTAATAACACAATAACGGTTTCAGAGGAGGGAATAAGTACCTCCGAAGAGAGAGTGTTTTCGTTCCTGCATTACATATTAGTATGTTAGGCAGTCGGGCACACCATTAGGACGATGATCTATTTGACAGCGCATACAGCATTCCTCCTTCTCAGCACAAACAAAAAAAAAAAAAATAATATAGTAGTGAACTAATAATGTACTATAGAAGTGTATGCATATACACCCTTAGCTAAGCCATTGCTTAGTTTAAATCAAAATATTTTATACATTTTCTTTTTTCATGTCAAAAAATTTTGAACTTAATATTGGAGTAATCCCTAACGGGTCTCCATTGATCCCATAGAAGACCAATGGTCAGAATATACATATAGCTTGCATTGTCATAGCATAACGATGGCAATAAGGAAAAATGATGATATTTGAAATAGAATGAATGGAATTAAGAAATAGAAGAGATTTTGTAATGAGAGTGATGTGAAGATTCAATAAGAATAAATGAAAAATTGCAAGAAGAAATGCGGAGATTGAATCTAATATACACTTGTTTTGACTGTGGATGAGAATAGTAAATAACTTATGAAAATAAATAAAGAGACTGAATACATTCTGTACTATTCTAAAGCTTTTCGCTTAGACGGAACTCATACACAAATCAGTTAGGTTTTGATATTTTTGGGTAATGAAACAATTGAACAAAGGTATGATGCTTTGCGACTTGGATTTGAAGTTTATATCAGGAATAAATGGCCATATATATGATAAGTAATTATTAAGTAAATAGCCTATAGCAGCTGGTATTATTATTGTAATGCATAAAGTAGCATTAATTTAATAAAAATTTTTTGCAAAGCGACATCTATGAATATATGATGTTAATTGAACTGTGTGCACTTCATCTATTCTCCTTAGAACTCCGTTATTACTTGGCATTTTAAATGATATTACTTTATATCTAACAGTCAAAAAAATAATATGAAACAAACGGACGAAGGAACAAATATTAAATTACTTATTGCTATAAATATTTTTCGCTGATCCGTTAATTATCTTAACGACCTAGAATATAATGGACCCAAAGACCATTCCAATGAAATTTACTAAAGATTTAGTAAATCAAAAAGTAAATATATTAAAGAAGTAAAATCTTCTAAGCGATTGCTATGTGTCTATGATACTGATCGAAAGGGGAATTAAAAAGTACTGTGTACCAAGTTTTAACCAATAATTTTGGCAAAGAAAAAGTCTGTAAATTCTGCGAACCACACACACTCGAGCCATACACACTGGTGAATGCTCAATATGTCTAGAAAGATAAGCTTTTAAAAATATTCTAAACTCAAAATTCCAAAAAGACTCTGTGTAATACAGCAGTAATTGGAACAAATTATGAAACGTGATGTTTCCCATAAGAGTCTATAATGAAACTTCAGACTGCCTTCAGAAACCATCAGAAAAACTAAAACAAAGAAAATGAACACTTTCAGAAAATCCAAATCAAGATAATACTAACCGTGCTCTTCCACTGAAAAGGCATAGTTAACAGACGATGCATCCCAAAAGATTAGAAAGTAAATGCAGAATCTTACATTTATTTGGGAATTGTAGAAAGATGATTGGGCAGATCTTGTTGTACGGTAATGTGTAGTGTCATAAAACAAGTTTTTTAACATTTTTAGTGCTTTGTTGACTACTGTGAATAAACAGGGATAAGAAGTCGAGATTAAGCTTAACCGATCTGGGGGTAGACTGTAATTCTAGTTTGCTTTTTTTTTTGAATAGTAAACTTGGTTTTAAAATATGTCTATTTATATATGTAGTAACTTCTGTTTGAAATGAATAATATAAAGAGTAATCCATCTAATGAAATCTTTGGTTCGTTTTAACTTATTTCTGTGAGAGAATCAGTTTAAAGAAAATTTTTTTATATTATAAATTTCTTTCTAAAGTAACTAACTCTTATTAAAACTCGTTGTTTGTTTGTTCTATTTGTGCTAATGAAATTTGTATATAAATGAAATTCCTAGAAAGTATCTCGTTTTCTTAAACAATTTTTTTTTATTTAACTAATTCAAACTTGTTCTTTAAACTTATTTGTTGTGAATTCCTGAACCTGCCATCCTCGTTTGTATTTTATTAAAATCAGTGTTTTCCTTGAAGGTACAAATAAATCAAATACTTGAAGTTACTTTGGAAAAAATTTATATTTTTAAGGCATTCCAAAGTATTGAGGATTTCTGTTTATTTTGCGGTTATGTGCCTGCGATTGTGTACACAGTTGTGTGTCTGTGGCGCATTCACATGTCGCTGTGGCATTTAAGGAAATTCCAATATAAAATACGCCCCACAGCAACAATAATGACTTAAATGACAACAACAACAGCGATAGCTGCTTGGCTATATTGTAAGCCTACACAATAACTAAGGCACACGGATTAGGCGGCAAATAAGAAGAAATTCCTGGTTATATGGTTAGGCCTGCGTCAGTATGTTGGTTGGTGCTATCCAGCAAGGATGAGTCATTGAGTTCGTTAAGCCGCAAATCATCGCCCCAATTTGTTGCAATAAACGCCAATATGTCATGTGGTTTTCTGTAAATAAACCAAAAGCAACGTAGCAATAAAAAAGCATAAAAATAAAAATAAAATAAAATGAAAAGTAAAATAAAAATAAAAATAAAAATACAAACACAAATAGGAATAAAATATTTCGTCTGTAAAGACGGTGTACGCACTGTTGGCTCGGCTGAGCAACACAGGTTACATGTAATATCGGATTTCAAGTGGCTTAGAGAGTTGAGTGTATAAATTCGTAGGCAAATATTTCAGCTGCTCTTACGCATTTCCGAGCTGCTCCAATTTTACGTACTGAGGCGACACAAATAAACGTAAATAAATCAAAAGTAGCAAAAAAAAAACACACACAAAATAACAACAAACCAAAAAGTAACAAAATAACAAAATAATTCCTACGTTTTGTATATTTATTGCCTGAAGCGGCGTATAAAAAAAAATACTATAAAATATAATGCGCCTAAGAATATGCTACGAAAAATCTAACTAATTTTCAATGCAGCAAAGAGTATTTATTTGTGTTGTTTGTGTCAAAGCTGCGCAGCAACAGTGGCGTTAGTTGTGGCGGCAATGACATGAGCAAAAGTATTTACCAGCAGTGCTTGAACTTCTGACTGCATTAGCACCCAACAAGCAAAAAAGGTAGATTTTACGTTTTTATGCTTGGAAAACATTATAATGTCACCGAGAAACTCAACGATTCTTTAAACGACATCGAAGTTGTTTTTACATTTACTATAGCAAATCGGAGTATCTTTTAAATCGGAGTATCTATTGGAAACAATCAACCAAATCATAAGTGACTAGAGGTGTGTGCATTGGCAGTATTAAACGATATATCAAGATCCAGTTAATAGTTAACAGAGCATGTTGTTTTTCTAATGGATCTTTATTTCGTGCCCAACCATTCCATTTTATTTTTTTTAACCAATAAATAAGAGATCCGAAGAGCCGAAGTGCCGAAGAGATCTGAAACACACTTAATACGTATTTTTATTTCTTCAAATTCATTAGAATTACATAAAGTTGTAATTTATTATATCCATCGGAGAATTGAGTTTATGGTTATACCAGGTAAGGTAACCTCATTATTAATATGGGATGCAAGCTGCGTTTCAGTGGTACTTTTTATTGCTTCTTAAATTGATAGACCAATCAGTTCCTATACATCTTAAAGTTTCCAAAATAAGAATATGAAAACAGATCAAATTTGAAAGTGAGTAAGAATAATTACTGTCTTGTTTAATCAGTTAAGGCAAGAGTGATTCTTCGTATTTGTAGATTAATGCCTTATCACATGAAAGCAATTTTTTTTTTTACTTTTGTAGACTCCTGACTTTTTCATTAGTGATTGAAGATTTTAGTAAAGCTTCTCATTTCTGATGTGCCGTGATGTTTTTTTAATTCAGCTTAAAATGCTTAACAAAATTTTATAAATAATTTTTTCTATATTCAAGTCGAAAAGTAATGAACAACAACAAAAATTATTTTTATATTATTTTAATTAATTGAATTTTTGGCTGACCACACAGCTGTTTCGAGTATTGCGAATTATCGAACATCAATGGTCTTGGAAATATTTCTTGTATTTAATAAATACAATTTTTTGAGACTGCAAGTACCAGGAATCGAACTCGTGCCCTGTCAAATTTGAAACTCAGAGTCAGCGTTCAGTAGCCAACTGATCCGAAGCCGTACTTGACTTTTATATTCGCACATTTTTCTGGAGTTTTGTTAATTTGCTGTGAAAGTTTTTATTGACAAATTCACTTGCTGTGTGATATATTAGAACGAAATTATAAACTAGCAGTAAAATATTTATTTAATTATATTTTTTTTTTAATTGTAAAATTTCAATATTATTTAGCAAATTTTCACAAAATTTCCATTGTGATGATCAGATTGTTGAGGACCATATTTCTTAATTAGTATGTTGGTGCTATAATATAAAAGAACTTCATTTACCAATCCACAGATCAATTAGTTGTTTGATATTCAATGAAAGTAATCAACATGGAATTCATATGTTAATTTTTGTATTGTTTAAACGTATGCCTAGATACATAAGATTATCTCTTTAAGAATCACTTAGGTCGTTTAAATGAATACGTTTCCATTCCTGTAATAAAAAAATGAAATGATACCCAAAACTTTATAAAGTCCAATACTTAAACGTATTTGGTTGCAGCAATTCGATTGTGAAGTCATATTTTAAAACGTATTTGCTTGTTGGGTATTCGATGGCATGAAAATTGTCATAGCCGGAGTCACGTTCTCCTCTGTGTTCATATGCCTAAGTACATATGCAAATATATAAATCGCTGATTATTTCCTTTAATTTTTTTTTAATTTTTTTATCTATTTTTATTTTTCTCCAGTAGAAAGATTTTATATTTTATTAAGTATAGATAGCGTTTTGTTGTTCGATTTTGCTTCGTTGTTTGAGAAATTCCTGCCAATAAATAACAGTAAATACTAGATATGTTTCAAGTATTATTTATTTGTGTTAACATTTATTTATTCATTTATTATTTCATTTCCTTCCAGCGTGTTGGCTGCGATTTGAAAATTAGCTCAACGAAAAAAATTGATGGTTGTGGAGTATGCGGTGGAGATGGCAGCTCCTGTTCTCAAACACTTTATAATTGGGAATCGGCACCGATGTCGTTGTGTTCTGTCTCCTGTGGTGGAGGTAAGCTTAAATACTTATAAAAAATACATATAAAATATTTCAAAACAGACGCCAAAGAAATAAATTTGAATTAATAACAAAATTCATAATAGGAAATAATAACTCGTTTCATTTAACTTTTATTTAATTTTTTAAATAATTTACATATAACGTGAACTCTGCAATTAATGCATGTATATATATATTAGTCTGAAATTAAAAATATTTAAGTCCTTTAGCAATTTTTACATCACAATTTCCCTAACTCGTCATTAAAACTGATATTGTTTTCTAAAATATCTGCCATATCTAATTAATTCTATGGTATTAAGTAAGATACAAATCAAAAAATTAAAGTTTACAAAGGATTTGTTATCGTTTGAATGATGTTTCATTATTTTTAATTAATTTTTTTAACAACACATCCCTACTTAGCACTATCTAATCTCAGAGTAATCACTAACCGGACGGGGCGAGAATACACAAATGAGTCAGTGAGATTGGTGGTACTCTGCAGAAACCCTTCAGCTATCAAAGAGTAAAAGTGCTCAGATGCACTAACTCGGAAAAGGCTCTACATTAACATTAACATTAACATTAGACACAGCATTTACAGAGATTTGGACATTTATATATTTAAAAATTTTAACAAAAAAAGAAATTTTATGACAATTTAAGATAAATTGGAGATTTATATATTTCAATCTAATGGAAGTTTCATAAAAAATGGAAGTTGACTATATAAAATGGAAAATTATATCCTAGAGTTATAAATATAATATATACTATATATTAATATATAATATAATATAATATATAATATATATAATATATACATATAATAATTCCAATTTCGATATTAATTAGAGTTTACATAATTAGAGTTCACAACACGAAGAAATATTTAATGTTAAAATATGAGATATTATTGTTGTTGCCATCAAAAGAGGCAATTAAGCACATAGGTAAGATCTATCGTTCCATTCCTGGAGAGAATTTCATAATTAAGCACGGATAGTAAGACAATATGATCGTTAATGACAAATGATCCAAATTGTAGAAAATTATAGAAAGCAGACAACAGAAATTATTCCTGTTATAGAACTTTACTTAAAAACTAAATTGATAATAACATATTTGTTCTGTCAGATTGGCATACAAATCTGCATATTATTAACATTATTATTTATTATTTATATAAATTCTTTAATGATTAATCTTTTGTAACTTAAACCACTTTTCATAAATTTGTATAGGTAATTAGTATTGCTAACACTTAACAAGACTTTAACTTCTTCTTCTGACAGAAGTGTTTTATCAAAAAAAAAAAAAAGACGTCTATGTTCTCTGGAAATCAAACATACTTCAATAATATAACTTACCATATATTTTCTATTTCACGATGATTACACAAAGAACAATCACGTTCAGGTATATTAAATGCTCTGGCGTTTTAATTAAAAAGTCCGGCCCTACATTTAAAAAGTACTCTTGACATGTGATTTTGAAAGTGTTTTCGTAATAAAAACTATGCCATATTGCAGCTGTGGGTAAATGTTATGAGATACCGACCTAGCATTCACAACAAAGGAATCGTGTTCATTCCTTTTGTATGAAGTTATAAAATTATTGTGTGATAATTTAAGATCCACACTCCGAATACTGGTTATTGAAAGACCCAGTTCTAAACACATATTTTCCCACTATTTGACTCAATATATGCCTTTGTTACTCCGTTTGTATAGTCATAATATTATTAAGTAATAATTTAAGATCCACAATCCGAATACTGGTTATTGAAAGAACCAGTTCTAAACACATATTTTCCCACTCTTTGGCTCAAAATACGCCTTTGTTACTCCGTTTGTATAGTCATAATATTATTTAGTAATAATTTAAGATCCACACTCCGAATACTGGTTATTGAAAGACCCAGTTCTAAACACATATTTTCCAATTCTTTAGCCCAATATATGCCTTTGTTACTCCGTTTGTATAGTCATAATATTATTAAGTAATAATTTAAGATCCACAATCCGTATACTGGTTATTGAAAGACCCAATTCTAAACACATATTTTCCCACTCTTTGGCTCAATATATGACTTTGTTTCCCAGTTTGTATAGTCATAATATTATTGAGTAATAATTTAAGATCCACAATCCGAATACTGGTTATTGAAATAACTAGTTCTACACATATATTTTCACACTCTTTGGGCTAATATATGCCTTTGTCAATTGTAAGTTTAGGTAGTACTTGAGGAAGCCTTGTGGATTAAAGACTCTCTATGTAAAATCCATTTTTGGTTTAATGAGTAGCAAATGCAGTTTAATAAATATCTGTGTAAAACAATTTTTTTTGAAATCCACTATAATTTTTTTTTTTTTTTTGTAATACTAGTAACTGTTTTAAAAGCGGCCCTATACTTCTCCTAGGAGTTATAGGATTAATTAAATATATATATATAGATTAGATTTTAATTTAGATTAAAGTAAAAGTTTTGTAATTCTATCTTAGGTGATAAGAGCAAAGAATCTCCTCTTTAAAAAATCTCAATTCAAAACCAATTAAATTAAATGGAATTATGTTATATGTTTATAAATGTATATTTTTAATGTGTAAGATAAATATAAATTTTCACAAATATATTGACAGGAATCGCATTCAACTTTTTTTTCCCTTTCAAAATAAATGCATAATTTGTGTGGTTTATTCGTAGGCACGAGTTATCAACTTCGGTGCACTTAACACATTCTCAGCTACTGACTACTTAATTAAACTGTAATAATAACATTATTATCGATACTTGTAAGTATCGAGTTCTATATTTTAATGAAAAGCAAACAAATACATAATCCAGTAATCGAAAAATCATTGATTTTTCAATTGCGATAAAAATTTATTTACATTTGCGTGCTTCCGTACGCCGAACAATATATCTTGAATGTCGTAGGAGTTGTAGAAGTCAAAGTCGACACAAAGTCTATATATTATTTAAGAAGGTTTCATTTCACTCTTGGCTTTTTTTACTCTCTAAACACGCACATTCAAGTAAGGCACAAGTTCAATTAGGACCATGACTATTGTATAATACAAAAAAAAAAAAAAAAAAAAAAATTACCATACACATACGAGTTTAGCAGGAAAAATATGCCATACCAATATAGCTAGACTAGTATACATACCGCCTGAGTAGGAGTTACTTAGATATTTGGTATTATAAATAAAAGATAAACCGAATGGCGTGACAAAGACAACAGCGCCAATAAGAATAACAAAATCAGCAGCAACAATGAAAACAACTTGAATTATCGAAAGAAATTTTCACATAAATTGTTAATGGTTGTTTTCGTACTATTTTATCTTTTTTACTCGTATTTTATATTCTATCGCATTTTTACATATTTTCGTATACTCGTATTAAATTATCAGCAAAGTCAATAATTTAGCATTGATAAATGCCACTGCCGCACACTGAGGCACCGAGACACCGAGGAACGCAAACGCAGCCTTATTTATGCATTCAAAGAACGCATGTAGCCCTCGACAAGTTCAGCCGAATTGATTGATTTCGATTGACAAAATCAATTACAAGCCAACTTAACTGCTTCAAATAACTCAAAAATGTGTCACCTTCGCGGTGGGTGAGTGGTAGGTTATGAATGGATAGGATGGTATGGGATGGGATGGGATGGGATGGGATGGTATGGGATGGTATGGGATGGTATGGCATGGTATGGCGGCGGTATCCTAGTGATACCATACTACCGGTGGTATGGTGTGAGCAAGTAAGAAAAATGCTTCAAACATTTCAGCGTCAATTGCAGGCACTGCTAATTATTACACATTTGACAGGAGTAATTACGAGAAATTATAAGTTGACACGAGTCGGACAGCGACTACGTGTTCAGGACAACAAACACACCCCGCTATTGGTGGCAGTAATTACGAATTAATTGGTATTTCAACTGCAAGTGTTTTCACATGCATTAAAACTAAAACTAACACACAAATTAAAGGAGCTTTTTTTTTGCAAAGGACTCAACCCAAAATTTTGTTATATCTTTATTATTTTTGTGTTCTTATTATGCTTCTTTTTGACAATTAGTATCTAATTAATTTTCGTTTCTCTTCAAAGTTATCCTATAACATAAAATCTCAGTACAAAGTGAGTTCTGCTCACTAGTCTCAAAAATCTACACTCCCAATCTTGCAAGATATATGACCCAACTAACAGAATAATCAAAACTATAGTAAAATTATTTAAACAATTTCTTGAACATTTTTTTGTTTGAAAAAATTTTTAATTAAGATAATTATAAACTAAATTATTAGCTTTTACAAAAAATTAAGCACTACTCGGCTAATTTCTTTGTTCGGCTAACCAACAAAGAAATCAGATGATAAAAACACAATCATATAAAAATATAGTATACTAAGATCCAGTGCTTAATGGGAATATATTTTATGTTAAATAACGCCACCTTAAAGAGATTTCATAGAGACTCTATACTACGTATGTTTAAATATGTTACTAAATTTAAAAATCCCATTCATCATCATCATCATTGGCTAGACAATCCTTCATGGGTATTTGTCTACTGTAGTATACGCCTCCATGCGTCTCGATCGCTCGCTTTCACCCTCCAACATCTCATACCTAAATCTTTTGCGTCCTGATCAACTCCATCTACACATCTTGGTTTGAACGACCCCTGCTTCTAATTCCTGTACACTGTTTGTTTATGATGTGTTTTGGGGTGTAATTTTGTTCTGCTCTAATAATATGTCCTACCCATCTAAGCTTATTTGTTTTAGTAACTGTTATTGTATTAGGTTCACCAAATAAAATTTTCAATTCATGATTGTATATTTACTATAATATTAAAAATTTTGAGTGCCTTTGGTCCTTTTTAAGGAATGATTTTATCAAATTTCTGTCTGAAATACTCGAACAGTAATGAAGCAAGAACAACAAAAATTTTAATTAATTTATTGAAATTTGTTTCGAGTATTTT